GACCTTCAAGACCTTGCAGAAGGGAACCTCCACTAACAATCCTGCCAAAAATTAAAATATCGTATTGAGCTCCTTGAAAATAAAGCCAGTTTTAAGTTTTAAAGGGTCAAATTCGGGATCGTGAACGGAGGAAAACCCACCGCACCCCTTACCTTGCTTTGATGGAGATAAAACTTTTTTATGTGTTGCTTGGCTTAAACATAATACCTCTGAAAGTTTCAAGACCCCCCAAAAATTTTGATCCCCATCACAGCGTTGTCAGGTTGAAAATTTTGAAATTCAATTTTATAAAAGGAATGAATTTATTGATTGCGTTTTACGGCAGAGAATCGTTAAAAGTACCCATCTTTGTATACAACGTATTACTAACTGGGAGGAGGGGGAGGGGGGCTACAAGCTCCTCCACGACTTCTTTTCTACCCTCATGTTGATTAAAATATGATTCGACCGGTTTTTTTTCTCTACTCCAAAGATCGGTCATTGTCGCGTACCATCGAATTATACTGTAATTATAAATTTTTAAACAGCAACATCGCTTGAAAAGCACTGAAGACGCTTTTTTTTTATTACAAAATTTCATTTTGAAAGTTCATTTTATTAAATATCACAAAAATGTTGCATACGTGGTCTTTCCTCAAACCATGAAAAAATGACAGCGGTGGAGATGAGATTTTTTTCCCCCATATTTTGTGAGAGCCTCGAACATACTGACCTCATTCTGAGCGTTCTCGATCTCATCTCCTAATATCAGTTTAAAAACTTTTTCGCCTCACAAGTGATCTTCTCGACGAGCCCTGTTTTTCCTTTTATATTTAAATACTCATATATTATTATGCATTAAAAGTTTTTTGATAAAAAGAAAAGCCTTATCATGCAAGCGACTGAAGAAATTGGGACGCACCGGAATGTTCCGGGGGAAAGTCCCATCGGCGCGGCAGTTGCCGCGGGGGGATTGCCGTCCATCCAGTCACGTCGGCCGTTGCCGTATAGTGCTGAAAAATCAGCACTTTTCCTCCGTTTCTTTGCCCCTCCGACGTGAAGACGCACGTTGATTTTACCTTAATTTCTGCGTGAGCCTCGAAAATTATGGACTGCTTCCTGAGGAGGGATAAGGCTTACATGGGAATCGAGATGAGCCCTTACGTCAGAGGAGGGACGATTTAAACCCGTGTAAAATATCCACTTTTAATCGCACAACTTGGCAATGTTTGCCGTGTGGCAGCTTTGGGATTAAAGGGGCTCGACCTCAACGTTGCCGCGTCAAATCATGTTCCCTTGAATGGACTACTAGACAAGGTACGAATTTCAGCATTCTGATACAGGTTTTTTAACCGAAATTTTACGTAGAACACGATGCGCACAACAAAAATTACCGAGATCAACTCCTTACGAAGATATTCAATGATTCTTGATGCGTGAATTCAAACCACCCGCGCATGAAAACTCAATGCTATACGTGATTCACATCGCGCGCTAAACGTTATCATGACATTCTCTGCGATATGAAAATCTGGCAACCTCAATCTTAACGCTTTGGCTCAGTTATAGCAAATTGCTTTTAGTTTGAACAACACATGGTGGGAAATGAACATTGCTCGATTGAGAAGCTTGCTGAAACCGTTCTAGTGCGTGATTTGACTCACGTAGAGCCTTGAGTTTCTTGTGAGCGGGCAGTTCAAAATCCGCGTGACCAATGTAAAATAAAAATGTTAATATCTCCGTTAGGAGTTGGTTTCAATAATTTTCGTTGCGCGCATTGTGTTCAACGTGAAATTTTGGTCAAGAAACATGTATCTGAATGCGGAAATTTGTACCTTGTCTAGTGGTCCATTGCAAAATGAGCGGAAACTTTGTGACGTTGCGGGTGAACTCCGCCGTGATAAGGAAAAACGCCGTATGAACATTCGAGAGTTGCCAAATTTCCTTCGATAAAATGTTTATTTTTGAGGCAACTTGTGAATATTATTCCTTGAAATTTTAAGGAACTTCAGGTGAAATTGCGAACAAAATTATCTGAAAAATTGGATGAAAAATATTCATATGTTTACCAGGAAATTCGTGTTTTATCAAAGGATATTTGGCAACGCCTGAATGTTCTTACGGCGGTTTTCCTTAGCATGGCAGAACTGTTTCCTCGTTTTTTTGCTTTCGAAGGATAGGAGAACGCTTTGTGTCCATGGTGGGTTACTTTCAAGGTAATATTTAAAAAATTTAATGAAAGCGGACTCATCTAGAGCTTATTATTTGCCAATAACCGTATATATTATGAAAATCGGCCCAGTAGATCTTCAGGAGCAATTATGACAAGGTATGATTTACATTGTCTGATGAGTAAGTATCACAATTTCATTCCGTATATAATGCGGAAAAAAAATTGGGTTATATTTCGAAAATTAGAGGGAAGCATGCTCATCTAGCTGTTATAACCTGTCAATAGCCGCAAATATTTGTATCTTGATATTCGCCCAACAGTATTTTAGAACGACCCGAGAAGATGTGAAAATTCACTTTATTCATGTGGAAAAATTCATCAGTTTATGCCAGAGTATCAAAACAATCAGCTCATATTGCAAAATTGTAAAAGAGAACTAGCTCATCTAGAGGTTATAATCTGTTGATTGATAGATGCCGAAGTCATGGAAATCGTGGCCCAAACGATCTGTAGAACTAACGATGACAAATGAAAACTTGGGTAGAGGAATGAGAGAGCCTATAGTAATCATGATGATACGTCGATATCAGAAAAGAGTCCTTCAACAAATATGACAGGCATATCAACAAGTTGATTATTGAAATCGATGGACAAAGAGATGTAAATTGGTTGAAACAGACAATTGGTTGTCATAGACAAGGGCAAAAATAATGTACTGACGGTAAGATCTTTCGTTAGTTGCCGTCAGTGAGTCTATAACTTACCTCCTTTTCCCATTGCAACCACCCCCCTCCGCCAATAGGATCGCCCCATTTTCCCTATGTCTTCTTTTTTGTCTACTAATGTGTCTATCAATTTCATCTGTCAGTCCACAGACGGGAATGGCGGGATCCAAAAAACTCAAACCCGTCAGGGAAAGGGGCATCAAAGTCTTGTAACCAAATCTTCGTTTCTGTGCCTTAAAAATCACGGCTAATCATTTTTCCTGTTACCAAAAAGGGTATTGACTATCAAATTTTCAAAATTGCAGCAGTATGAGTCCCAAAAAATCAGAGGATATTGCTAAAGTGCATGAGCACAAGTTCCGCGGAAATTTTTACTAATCCTGCCACCTAACGACCAGATTTTATTATTTGTTTATCTTTTTTATTATTTTTTTTTCATTCCCCATACGCGTGAACGTGTGACGGAAAAAAAAACTTTAGTGCCGCTGACCCTGGAGGTGAAAGTTTTGTAATTAATACTCTAGTGTCAAGGCATGTTACACAAAAATGTTGCTACACGTAAAAAGAAAAAAAAAGCCTAGGAACCAGACTGTAGTTATGAAGGTTTGAAAAGTACAGTTGAAAGAGCGTGGCTGTGGGGGAAAGCTCTTTATCTGCCACGACTGGGGCTCAAAATTGTCCGATTATAAACATTTTCACGACCTCTGCTGATCAGAAAATGAGCTTCAACGCTCACAGCTCATTCTTCGAGTGTTTCGCCGAAAACTTGAATAATTTTGGACCGAACTTGACCGAAAGCCCTCTCGCGATGACTTGTCTACTGTGCACTAAATTCCATTTTACCGATGACGGCCGCGTGTGTAAAGATAATGGCAGTACCAAACTACTCACTTCAGTTTGCGACGTTGCAAATTCCCTATGACATTTTCATACTTTTTTTTGAAGGAAGCCTGATACAAGTCATCATACAAAATTCCGTTTGATTTCTTTTCGTTCTTCTGATTCTGAAAATTGCGCGCAACAATTTTGCCTAGTATTATCTTGAAAAATTAAATTTGAGCGGAAATTTCGAAATATGCCATGTGAGCTCCATGGTTCAAATTTCACTATTTATGTAAAAAAATGTTTCACAACAGGAACGGTACATAAAAGTAGGCCTCAGCCGTGGATAAATGATGGGTTTCTAATGAAATCTTGCAGCTTGCGGGGAGATAAATACACGTCAATCCCGCGCAACTTCCCCGGAGTTTTTCATGCCACCTCCCCCCTCTCCCCCTCCCCTTACAACGCGGCGCCGCGGCGCGTTACCATAAATCATTTCCTACGTTTTCCCCTCCAGCGTTGCCAACTTTTCCATTTAAATCATCGCGCGCTCGGTAACTTCCCAGACTCGGAATTCTCCTCTCCCGCCTCGACTGGCAAGAACGCCGCGCTAGCAGTATTTCTTCCATCCCCTCACGATATCCCATTTTGTTTTATTTATTTTATTTTAATCCCCTGCAACAGAAAAAGCGACACCTATTCAGTCGGCTCTCGACATGAATAAATTCCGACTGCGGCAGAAAGAAACTAGCTCCGGACAAAAATGGGAAGAAATTGGCTTCTTAACAAGATGCCTTGCGATGTAAAAGATCCATTCCCCGCCTCTTATCGCCTCATATTGGTCTTTTAGGGACGCGGGTCTTTCAGTCGCTGCTCGTGAATGAAGTCAGACATGTATGGTAGAAGGGATAAAGGAGGAGTATAGAGGTGTCTGACACGTAAAAAAATTACGTTTGAGGCGCCTGGCATGATGANGGGGGGGGGGGGGGGGGTCAACCAACCGGGAATCTTGCCTGACGTCGTTTATTCCGCAGATTAACTATCCCGATGATCGTAAGTTATAGCTCATCAATAAAAGCTATAGCGAAACATTTCAACAGATGAAGAGACAAGGTAATATGATATCATGAGCTTTTAAGGAAATCTAATTTTCTGCAGCGATTCATATAGGAAATGATGTAGAAAATGTTTTTCCATTCGTATTATTTCAGAATTGAAAGTTTCGATCTTAGATTTATTGTTACAACGATAATTCGATCTTTGAATTATTTTTAACCAGTTTTTTCCCCTTTTTCTTTCAGATCTGCGCTGATCATCTCCACTGCCCTTTCAGGAAATCTGGTAAGGACCACAGTTTAAAATATCAATTTTATTAATTATGCTGACCTTCGCGAAATTTCCGCCTTAGAAAACACTCCGAAAAATTACATCTATTCAACTGTTTACTTGTTCTGATGGTTGATTGATAGTTAATGAGCAATTCGGTGATAGACGCATCAACTTTTTGGAGTTTACTTTCAGGTACAAATGTTGCAAAAACCTGTTGAGCGTCTCATAATGTCGGTGGTCGCGACCTATAGTAGTTCCCATTTATGAATGTAGATGGTTAAATGAATGGGTCAGAGTACCTCATCAGGGAGAGTATAGTCACAGGAGGGTTCAAATCTCATTTGCTCAGCCATCTATGCTTCATAGAGATTTTAAGACCGAAACTGTAGTAAACGTCACACGTTACTCGCTAGTTATTCAAAATGACATAAATTGATTTTTTCTATTGAGTATTCGGAAGTTATGCAGAGTTCGGCATATTTACTCAGTTGCGAAACCATTTTCATGTCTTACATTCTTTAAAATCTTTTCAACCTAGACTTCTGCCATGGCGAGGTTGGTAGGAAGGGGAACAAGTGATAACGGTCCAAGGTTGGTAATAAAGGGCCGGTCATTAAAAAAAGTAACGTTCAATTCCGAATTTTTCAACCCCTACCCCATCTGAACGCTTTTGTGACGTAGTTTTTACCCCTTTAACGAGAAGGCATAATACGCGCACCTCCCCCCCCCCCCCCCCCCCCCCNGGAGGAGCTTTACTTATTTCACGAACGGCACCTAACCCGAAGTCACCGCTACTTTTTTTGGTTTCTAAGATTCTCCACGGGGCCCACAGCGTCCATACTCTCTCCATAAAAATACCTCAGGGCAGGTCATAACACAGAGGGCTGATGTCAGATTGGTCGGGTAAAAAGCTTCATCCGATCCTCTCATAAAATTCTCCCGTAGAGCTCAGCAGAACTTGATGCGCCGAGCGTCACCCCAAGCGAGTTCCGCATAAAGGGTCAGATCCGCAGATCTAAAAGTTATCCTGCTTTAGGTAGCTTTATCTAGGTTTCTTTTCTACCCTCCTCCTCTCGCCTTATAGCGTCGCGTCGTTCAAACCGGGAGATTTCCTTCATACCTGGCGCGTCGCCTGGGGTCCCGGGACGTTTCGTTCCGCCCACGGCTGAACAAGAGGATTACACCTCCATGTGCAGGAAGCTCGCCGTATTTTCATTCAAACATCTCCGAACCTTCCCTCCGATAAAATATTTATTTTTATATTATCTTTATTTTTAAGGGAAGTTATACCTGTATAACTTCCCTTAAAAAGAAATCAAAATTTTGGGTAGAAAGATGCATCTTTCTAGCCAAAATTTTGATTAGGCAACGGCCGAATCAAGTTTATAATGAAAAGTATAGCCAGTGTTTGCAAGTAAAGGTTGTGCTCGCCAGTTGCTTGAAAGAACTATATAAGAATTCAATAATAAAACAAATTACCCAGCGGCTAATATTACAAGTTTTTCCGTAAATCTAATCTGAGTCGAGTGAATAATTTTATTGTAGATTTAAGTTCACCTTCTAATATATCCTAATTTTGGGTCTTTGTCGCGTCTTTCAATGCTGATGCAGTTTATAACAGGTTTATTCTTAACTTTTCATTATGCAGCTAATGTGAGGGTTGCTTTTGATAGAGTGATTCAAATTCTGCGAGATGTTAATAGTGGGTAATTTCCTCGTTATGCTCCTATTATTATCTTGATAATATTTTACTGAATGTTCGAAATTTCTGTAATTATCGTGTTAAGAGTTATCATACATATGAGAGTCATATGTAACATGAGGACACTAACCAGAACGAGTAGAAGCTGCATTATTTATAATCATAATAACAGGCTTAAGTTCTTTACCATTCATTATTAGTATAATAATCGTTTGCTCATCTTCATGTACATAATACCAAGACGTTTCAGCTGAAACTCAGCCTTCCTCAGATTTTTTAAAAAATGTTGTACTGTTATATTCAACTGAGGGAGGCTGAGTTTTCAGCCGAAACGTTTTGAGTATTTACGTGAAGATTAGCCTTGTCACCCGCTGAATAATTTGCTTCATTATTGTATATCTTGTCACGGGCTGCGCAGCATCAATCATATCTTATCTCTATAAGCATTGTAATTGCGTTGATTTCTTTTTCCGAGTTGAGTCTACGATTAAGAAACCCGAGAAAAACTAAGTGTGTACTTGGTCCTTTGCTCAGAATCAATTTGCTTTCTCTCCATTTAGGAGAAAATAACCAAGTTTTTAAAGTTTGTAAAAAAGTTAAAAATTATTTTCGCAGCAAATTTTACTTTTTTGTGAAACCCCTACAATTTATTAATATGAACATTTTTAAACGGAAACTCCTCTGAAGGAGAAATAAAAAAGAATCTCTAGAGTGAGCAGACCCTTGTGTGCCAAATAATTTGGTTCTTTGTGCTAAACTCGATGTAGTTTCGCTCAACTGAACTTTCATCATTAAATGTGATGAACTTTCCCATTATTAGTTTATTTTCATGAAAAAAGCCCGAAAAACCAATTGATAAGCAAAGCCATAACGCAATTATGTATATTACTTTATTTTATTATTTATATGGTTTCGTTTTATCAAATACTTGATTTGCCATTCCTTGGTGCAACGACGGGAAGGCATCGCTTTTATCATAAGCGAAACAAATCGGAAGCGCATCACACATTCAGGATTGGAGCGCCTTCAAGTGGAGTGATACCTCCAGCTTTGCCGGAGAGTTAGTTTAGTTGCGTGACCTAACTTAACCCAACTCGACTCACACGGGGAGCTTCCAAAGTGTAACCGGTATTAGAGCCACCCAAAATAAGGTCACCTGCGCCCCCCGGATTGCCTGCAGGTCGCAAGTTTTTGTGTTTTTATGCTTCTGTAGGTCGTTTTTAATGTAAATCATTCAATGAAGATAGAATAATCGGAATTTTTTAATTTTACAGGGGGAGCGAGAGGGGGCTTTGATTATTAACCATTATGTCCATAATACCTCATTCAACATTTGCTGTCGATGACGATTCTGCTCTTATAATTTAGAAGAAACTATGGACCCTCAGTTCAAATATACATATGATCCATACAAAACTGAACCATTTAGAAATTATAACCCATTGATGCCAAATTTTGGGGTACCCCTAATTTTAAATTGTTTTAATGAGCCTCTAGACAGGGTAAGANCTTGGGTCCTTCCTGTTATCAATTTTCGTTTGTTTACGATCCCGGCGTTGGGAGCGTTGGACGTTTTCGATGGCCGATGCTCAGTCGGCGCTGCGCAGCGCTACACAATCCTATTGGCTACAAATGTGACGTCATTTGTATATTAGGCGAGCGGGATTTACAAAAATGCGCAGTCTATTTACGCAAATATCTCGCTTATTAGTTGGTTTCATGAATTCCCGTTTGTACCATTGAATTCTACGCGAAATTCTGATGAAGATTCATGTGCTTAGAGCCTCCAGTTCTTACCCTGTCTAGAGGCTCATTGAGCTATAAGCTCCAGCGCTTGACGAAACTCACTTGCCAAAGGCAAATAGTTTCTCGTAGAAACAGACGAGCTTTGAGCTTCAAAACAAGTCTCAGTTATTCTTGAGGGGGCAATTTGAAACGCAGTTAAAATTTTTTAACGTTAATGTGGTGCACCTCACCGAAGGCCCATTGTGTACAATTAAAAAATTCCGATTATTTTATATTCATTAAAAACGACCTACAGAAGCATAAAAACACAAAAACTTGCGACCTGCAGGCAATCCGGGGGGCGCAGGTGACCTTGAGACTCGGAACATACAAGGTTCCCGCGCGCCGCGTCAACTTTGAAGACTCATAACTCCGCTTCTAATTGTTTCCCCAAGATGAACTTGAGCTTGTCTTAAACCTTATGTCCTCTACTTTCATTTAAAGTTGTTCTTGTTTTGCTCCGTGCGAACCGAACGACCGAAAATATCGAAAAACGAAAAATTACGAAAGGGGGACCTTGTATAATTCCCCCAAAAGTGAGTCAAAATTTAAAATTTTATTAATGTCATACATATATTTTGAAAGCTCCCATTTTTCTGGAAATTTTGACACCAAGATCAGCTTTCTATACGACAAACCGTTGAGAAGTTATGATACTTTAAAGTTTTTGACGTTGACCCCCCATCCCCCCCTTTTCCCTGGAGGTTAGGCAAAAAATATGACCAGTATTGAGTGTCCGGGAAGACACTCTTTCATCCCCGAGAAAATCGTAGGATTCCGTGTTTAGGCCGATTTGGCCGTTCTGTTGTAGGGTCCTTTTGTATAAAAATTGCACGCGTACATTTTTGTAAAATAAATTAATTGTTTTAGTCAAATCGGCAACCTTGGAATGGAGTTACGTTCCTTAATCCGGGACTCTACTAAGACTAACTATGCTGCCGTGCCACGGAAGAACGCCGTATGAACATTCGAGAGTTGCCAAATTTCCTCCCATAATATGTTTATTTTTGAGAAAATTCATGAATTTCCTTGACATTTTCAGACACTTTAGATCAAGTTACAAACAAAATTATCTGAGAAATCGGAGGAAAACTTTTTACAAATTTTCCTGAAAATTAGTGATTTGCCTAAGTAAATTTGGCAACGCCTAAAGACTCATACGGCGTTTTTCCTTAGCACGGCAGTATGAAGTCTCAGGTTTCTACGCGTTTCCGCGGCTCCATACCGTCGATTCATTAGGAGTCCTAGAGGACCCGAGTCTGTCAGACTGGCGTTAATATCCCACCCTATGTCCGCCAGAGACTCCGAGGGAGAAAATCTCCCTCCGAGAAGGGGGTGTAATTGAGGCGTGAACGCGGAAAGCTCGGCTCAAACAGGAGGGAGTTAAGAATAGGAAACGCGAAGCGAGAAGATAACGAATCGGGCGCTAGGCAGGCGCCTGAACAGGTAAATGATAACGGGAGAAGGCCACAACAAACAGCAGGGCTGGCAGGAAGAAAATTACAGATTATTACGACTAACAAGG